CCTCTTTGGACAGGCTTTTGGCTCGCACAGTTCTTGTCATCCCCAAATGATGGGGGGGTTAATTGGTGCCAAGTACCAAATTTATAGCCTACTAAGCCTGAGCAGTGCCCACAGAGAGGTGCTGCTGTGCAGGACAGAGTCCCGCTCCCCTTGCTCCCAGCCACTGGGATGCTGCCCTTTGCCCTGGGCAAAAGGCCTTTGATCCCAGCCTCAGGAACATCCATAGAGAGGGCCTTGCTTTCAGGCCACCATGTTCAGCTCGTACAAACCACAGCAAATGATTCTGCATTTGAGAGTAAACTGGGATCGAAACATTTCACTGCAACTGCAGCTTAAGTATTAGGGGGATGTTTTTTAACAGAAGGTAAGGGAATCAGAGCACAGCTCCTTTGGATACTAATACAAATGCAAGGCTAAAAGCTCAAAAGAAATGATTCTGTAAAAAAAAAAATCTCCCCATGATTGCTGGGATTTGGAGTTTCTGTGCTAATACCCTCTAGGGACAAAAAGGCCCAGAGGCGGGGTAGGAAGATGCTCTAAGGTTAAGCCTGTTGCCAGGCTGTGGCTCAGCCTTCTTGTTTGGAAGTGAGATGTTCACCTGCAAGAAAAACAGGCTCTGATTTTTGCACTTGTGCACAAAGAGTTGGTACAAACAGCTTGTGCCTGGTTTGTTGCTGTCATGTAGCAGCTTTGATCAATTCCAAATAGGATTCATGCCTGCCATTGCTCAGGGGGCAGCTGTGTTCCCAGTCAGAGGGATGAAGTCCTCAAAATCTGACTTGTGCCTTCATTTTGTACACCTCCATGTTTTATTAAAAAGCATCTGAGATTAATAAAGAACAAGATGCATGGGAGATTACCTGGGGGACTGCAGCTCTTTCAGGGACAATTAACTAGAAGACATTTGAAAGTATGTATTTAAAGAAGAAATTATCATCTTGCTGACAACTTTGCATAGACCTTTTTCCCCCTTCTCCCTCTAGCTGTCATCTTTAATATGATACTGGGGTCAGGAACAGTGCTTTTGAGCTCAGAAAGCACAGAGACATTGTGAGATGCCTCTGGAAACGGTAGACACGGACACGGTATTTGCTAAAGGACCAAGAAGACAGCCAGATCCAACTTCAACCCATTTCATCTCCTTTCACAGTCACATCTAGCCCTTTGTAAACAAACTAGTTTTCAAGGGCCCCTGCAAAGAAAGCATTACCTTGGTCTTGTACATGGGAAAACAAGACATGCTTCAGGCCAGAAGGAGGTGAAACAGCTCTTGGGCAGATGCACCAGCCCATTGGCACCATCGTGCTCCTGGAAGGAGCTCCCACGCCCCTGACTGCGCTAGCACGGAGGCACTTACTCATGCTGCAGCAGGTCTTTGAAGTGAATCATCTCCACAATGACCTGGACATTCTCCTTGGCAGCGGAGCAGAGGTCATGCTTCAGGTAGCACTCCCGCTGTAACTGGAACACCATCTCTTTAATGGCAGGGCACTTACGGCTGATGCAGCTGAATTTATGCCTCAGGGCATGAGCCTTACACTTCAGAGCGTCTTTAATGAAGGATTTTCCCTGAGAAGAAAAGAAACGGAGTAGGTCTGTATTTTTGCCCATTAAGCACAGCAGCTGATTTATGCCCAGCTAGCTGCTCCTCTGTAGGACAATGTCAAGGGTTATTAGATTGCTAAGGGTATCACTTAATGGCTTTCTCCCCCTCTTCTCTTAAAGTTTCTTTGCCCTTAAAGACCATGCCAAGTTACCCAGCTTTGCTTTCCCAGTGGAGCTGAACACACAGGGCTTCCTCACTGGTATTTTGAGGTTTCCTCTGCTCCAACAGCTGAACGTCCCACAAGGGAAAGGGCAAAAGGAAGCACCTTGAAATAATTCAATGCTCGAGTTACTGGCTTCATTCACTTCTGGGGTGGCAGCACAGCAGCTTCACACAAAGGAGGGGGCATCCTGCCATGGCTGAGGTCTTCAGGACCACAAGCACATACCCATTCAGTAACTGCAAATTAGTTTTGGGTTTGTTTTTTTTTTTAATTTTAAAATTAGTTTGCAAACTCATAGACATGTATGCATTGTCTATATGCACCTGCCCCATTCCTCAGCTGTCAGTATTTTCTCTACTACCACTTCCTCAGAGAGGGACTCAAATTTGCACTAATAATAATCCCACAGTGTCTTGATGTCTGTTTGCTGCAAGAAATTTTAAGTGAGATTAAAAAAATCAAATCAAGAAACTAAAAAAAGTTGCAGGAAAGCTGCTTTAGCAACATCTCTTTACCCACTGTTTGTGATTCCTTTATTCAATTGCTTAATGGGCATCAAAACCATCCCTTCCTTTTCTCTTTGCTAGCTGATGCTACAGCTGCCACACACGGTGCATGTGCCGCAGTCTGACAGCTCTGCTCAGACTCCCTTTACTTTGCTGAGCAGTAGGTGCACAGAAGCCTCCTGCACTGCCCCCATCTCTTCATTAGCTTCAGATTATTTCCAAAAATGCTCCATGAAGACCAAATTCTTGTTATCCTTTATCCAAAGAGTATGCTGGCACAGCTCCACTGACATTAACTAAGATTCACTCAGACCTGTAAGCAGATGTTGTCCCCAAATTGTTTCAAGCCAGAAATGTTTCTTGCTGATCAAAGAACTGCTTCAGTCATCATCCGTTTCTATTCCCCGTACCAAAGGCACTTACTTGCCCTTCCCTTTGGTAACAAACACGTACAGCACAGTAGGCAAATGATAAAACAGAAAATTCTTATATAAACCAAACCTGACATCAATTCTCAGGCTTCAGAGACAGGGAAGGAGAGCAGAAAGCAGAGAACAGAAAATGGCCAATGTTAGTCCTGTCATTTAATGCCGCCTGAAATAACTGTAGATAATACAGAGATGAGCCATAAAAAGCTATGGCATAGCAGAGGCCAAAGTCACCTCCATATTAAATAAAGCTCCAGGGATTTAATACTTCTGCAATGCAATGGAGACAGCTCGGATATGAGACAGGCTGTATTTGATTAGCAATACCTGCGGATCCTGGGGAATAGGCATCAATGGCTACACTCAACCTTCGTAGGCACATTTCCCTCCCCTCCCAACAAAGCTTCTTCGGTCAACTTTGATCACTGACAGAATACTGTGCAAAAATAAACAAGCGTTTTCTGGAAGCCACTTGGAAATTCAGTTGAAGGTTTTCAGGTAGCCCCAGAAGAAGCAATTGCCATTTTAATGGCTAGCCAGACTACAAATGTACATCCTTGAGAATTTGAGACTAAAACTCCAGCATTTTAAAAGTGTTTTTTACTGGGTGGTCCCACCATCCCTCATGGAACAGGTGGAATCCTGAAGGCAGCTCTACTTTATACCATGCTTTCAACAGTGCCACGTAGCTGATGCTTTTAGTCAAGTTATACCGTAAACTGCATGGTCAAGCCAAATGCCGCTGGCCTGTTGTAATGTTCTCTTCCCTCCACACTGAAATGGGAGAGTAGGTTTACAAGACATAATAACAGGATGTCTCAGTGATGCATAAATGGTCTGCAGAGAAAATGAAGGACACAAACTTAACACTGCATACCATCCAAGCAATGTATTTTAACGTCAGTGCGTGAACCAAAGACTTACTTGAACACAACAGCTTTAGGAGGTGCCTGTACTGGTTGTGGGCAAGTCTTGAGAACCAACTTTAATAACTGCACACTGGAAATAGTCTGATATGTCTAAACGAACTGGGTGCCCAAGCTGCATTTCAGTCAGCTTTGAACAAACATAGTGTAGAAGCTTAAGCCACTTAGTATTTCTGAAAACCATCGTCAGCTACATTACTGTTCTGATCCTGGGTACAGGAGGAGGAAGTGATCACAGCAAGCTGTAGCTAGAGACAGTCTAGTCTGTCTCGTGGGACAGGTTGCACACCGCTGCTCTACTACGGTTCGTGGGTCTTGATTCTGGGCCCTTCAACAGAAAAATTCTTATTGAAGCTAGTCATGTGCAAAAGCAGATTTTCTCTGTAATGATAACTTTTTTCCCAAAGATGTGTTAAAGAACTACAATACATGCCACATATATTGGAAGCAAGCAGATACATAGGACATTTCACTGGGTTACCTGTGCATCAAATTTCCCAGCGTTGTGCAGGAACGTCATGCAGATCTCGTGTAAGCCTCGGATCTCGCAAGAATTGTTTTCAAAGCATTCAAACACTCCACATCCCACATCGCCAGCGTTAACCAGGCAGTGCTGGATTTCAGCTAAAATGAGCATTGATTACAGTTAATTTGAAGAACTGTTCATAGAAGCTGGTGGTGGGGAGGGTGGGGAGGGAAAGAATTATTTTTCTAACATCATCAGTTCAAAAGAAAAAACACACGTAACAACAGTTATTTTACCCACAGTATGCCCACTTTTTTGCAGACTTTAGGCCAAAACTTGGGTGTATTATGTTATGAAAGTGATATCCAAGAAGTAAATGCCAAATCCACTATACTTGTGTCAAGCTATTTCACTTGAGAACTGACTAATGCTTTGGCATTCCTTGGGAGCAAAGGACAGGCATGATTTTTGCTGTCTGACTTGTACAAAGTTCCCCATCAAAATTAAGTGCCAAAACAAGAAGCCCAGGACCCAGCCAGCTAAAATTTCTCATTTCTGGTACTTTGAGATAGTTTCTAGTGATTTAGCACAGGGTTTTTACAGACCATTGGGTTTCCCCTGTCATGATGTCTACAAAGTTAATGGCAAAAATCCCACTCAAATAAAGTCTTTTGCACTGAGTATTGCACAAAGCTGCAACAATGTCCTCACCTATGCAGAAATCAATTGGGAAAAAATATATTTATATATGTAGTACATAAAATAGGTGTAGTGGAGCTAGCTGTTACATATGTGTTTATTCTGCCCTTTCAGATGTTACGTAATACTGTAAAAAAAAAATGCTGTCTAATACTCACTTACCAAAAAACCCCCAAAAATCTAATTCTTAACAAGACAGCTTCTGGTCCTTTAAAAAAAAATGGATGTAGTAGTACTGCCAGAGGGAAGGCGGTTGTTGAAAAAGCCTGGGGACAAAGTTAAACAGGGGCAGCTTTTAGACCAGAACTGAGGATGCTAAGAATTCCTGTACTCTCTGCCCTAGTGGTACCTTTAATTAAAGCTCGCCCTTGGGAGCCAGCCTAATCCCCCTCCGAACCGCAGCATGTTTCAGACATCCCCAGCCTCCCCCTTCGCCACGCGGTCCATTTGCAAGTCTTTACAGCAACTTTCGGTCTAATTTCAACTCGCTGCAAGGCGGAGAGAGGATGTAAATGCGGAGCCTGACGGAGTTCCTATGAACCCCCTCAGCTCAAAACCAAATCACTGCCACTGCCGCTGCCTCCCCCCTGGCCTCTTCTACCTGCCCCGAAGTGCATCTGGGGGTGGGACACGGCAGCCCCGGGGTCGGCTCTTGGGATTGTCTCAGCCACACGCGAAAAGCTGCGCAAACACACACGCACCGGGCCGGGGGGGGTGGGGTGGGGGTGTGTGTGTGTGTGTGGAAAAATGGAGCTCTTTGTGGAGCGCTGCAGAGCGCGGAGCTGGGCTTTTTTGGGGCCGGGAGCTCAGCTGTAGTGCTTGTGTTGGCATCCGGATGCAAACCCTTTGCCGGATCACATGTCCTGGCTCCAGCGTGCTGAGAACTGCACAGTGCCGTGATTCACATGTGGCAGTCCCTAATGGGCATT